GGGGACTGCGGAGGGGAGCAGACGGATGGACACCCACGCCCCAGGTGCATCGCTCCCGCATCCCACCCATGATCCCAGCTGGGCGATGGGTGCCACTGGGATGCCCGGAGAGCAGAGACGTGGCTCTGTGGCCAGCAAGGGACTCCCCGTGCCCCCCGCCACTGCCCCTGCTCCCATCCCATCCTCACCCCATCCTGCTCTGGCTGCCTGGCAGGGGGAAAGCCCCCTGGGACTCACCTCCTGCTTGAGGAACTGGCAGATGATCTCCTCCCCCATCTCCTTCCGCTTCTCATCCGGGGAGAGCTCGTAGTCCGCCTGGGATGCCCGGGGAGAGGAGGGTGCTGCAGACAGTGGCACCAGGCACGGCTCTGCCCTGTGCCCCCCCACCGAGCCCCTGGCCTCCCCAAACGAGGCACATCTGCCCCGGCCGTGGGGCGAGGGAGCCCACTGCACCCGTGCCACGGGCAGCTGCCTGCACCGGGGGCTCACGGTGGTGCTGGCAGCCCTAGGGGGTCCCCCACGCTGCTCCCCGCAGCAGGTAGCGGAGCCGGGCAGGGGAGCGGGCTGCCAGACCCAGGCCCGCTGCAGCCCGGGCAGCTCTAGTTATTCAAAAGGGGGGAAAAAAATGTCCTGCAAGAGCTCTAAGTCCCGGCACAAGCAGGGACTGTTTTACAGGCACGTGTTTCCCATTAGCAGCCCCCAGGGCTGTTGGGTCTCTGCACGCCCGAGAGGCTCCGGCTGCTCCCCCTGAGGCCCCCAGCTCCCCGGGCAGCCCTGGAAAGCCAACCCCACGGCCGATGGGCTGCTTCTGGCACAGGCTGCCGTAGTCCTGCTCTGCAAGGGAAGGTGGGACGTGCCACGCACCGTACTGAGCACACGCCGTGGCCCCGCATCCGCTGTGCCCCCAGCACGGCCGTGACCCGGCGCCGTGCTGGGACCCGTGAGCCAGTTCTGCCGGTTCCCGGAGCCCTCCCCGGCTCACCCAAGCCCTTCCGCAGCTCATCACACTGGCTGACATGTGGGAACCGGAGGATCTCCCTCCACTTCTTGCTCCTGCCTTTCCGCTTGCCGCCACCTCCTGCAGCCGGGGGGAGAGGGAGAAGAGGTCACGCTGGCAGGATGGGCATCGCTGCCCCGGCCCGGCCGGCAATGGGGGGAATGGGGGGGCAGAGCCCCTGCCCAGTCCTGCAGAGCCGCCCGGTTTGGGGTTTCCCCCCATCCCACCACTACTGGTCCCCAAAACCCATTGCTCACACACGTACCCGCACACAGCCAGCACTGGGGCTTTGGGCGACTCTGAAGCCACGTGGGAAAAACACGCCCTCAGCCCTGGAGAGGGCTCTGACCCCTGAGGGGACCCTCACCCCGAACAGCCGAGAGGATCCCCACCCAGTGACGGCT